GAAAAGGAATACAATTTAAAAACGCATCTTACTTATTCACCAACCAAATCACATTAATTCTTAAAATTAGGAATGCATGGTAATGATAAAAATGGTCCTCAGACAGAACCAGGAACATATTTGGATCGATCGACAAAACCTATTCGGTTTTCCTTTTTACCATAATCTTATTGAAAATATTGAAAAAATATATTTGTAAATTGACAAACAAATACCAATTGTTACAGCTGTTCCTCCTTCCATGCCATATCTTACAAGTTATACCACATGTAGAATAGAAACCAATCCAGTAAAACTGAGAAATAAGGAGGGGGCAAAAATGAAGAGAAAAAAAAAAACCCTCAACCCATAAAACACTTTGAAACCCAAAAAAAAAAAAAAAAAAAGGGAACTCACCAACGCACAATATACCTATTGTGCAGAAAGAATATCAAAATCCCACCAATCCCCACCTTCCACTCTTCACTAAGCCGATAATAAATTAGCTCATCCTGATGCCGCCAGCCCTCGCATTCATGATTTTCCGCATCCACTTCTCACGGTGAGGGACAAATGGGTGGGGCTGCCGTATAATTAGGCCTACAAGCATTATATTGAACAAATCTTCACATTCAATCACCATTAATTCATTACAGCAAACCAGCTAGCAGTGCCCCAGGATCATTCATTGCCATTGGCGTGCTGGTTGGTTGAACTGCTGAAGGTGCTGGTGGTGTTGCAGCTGTAATTGAAGCTTGTGTCTGTGGAGTTTGTGGTGCAGGTCCATGAGGAGCCATAGGAATACTGATCAATTGTTCCTTGATAAACTCCTTCAACCTGCAGATCAAGTGTCCAGAAAATCAGCCAACTTGAGTAGTTTTAAGGTAATTTGCAATGGCTGGAAGTTGAACAACATACTCAAACGTTAGTGTAGGATCGCCTGAAGCAATTGTCATACGCAACTGGGTTCTGTCTGCTGGATCAGTCTCAATTCTGATCTGAACATCAGAAAAATGGGGATAAAAAAGGATGTTAAGTAGTGATTTCCTTCAATTGCTTATGCTTTAAGGTTAATAGCTTGTTTGGTTTGAGGGAAGTGGAGAGAAAATTATTATAACAATCAAATTATTTCGTTGGTCCAACGACTTAATTTATGAAACAATTCCACTTTCCTTCCCCTCAAACCAAACAGGTTATAAGGGTAATCTGAAAACATGAATATTAGAATGCCACTTATCTTTGCAAGTAAAATTTAATTACGCTGACCTCTAAGATAATGAAATGACAAATGTGAGGAAGCACTTGAAATCATCTAATTACCAGGATCAAAAACTGAAACAATTATATTTCTTACCAGGCAGAGCATGGCACGTGTGCTCTCCGAGTAAAAGGTTGTGCCTGCTACTAGGTTATTAGGATTTGGGTCCTAAAACAGAAAACTAAATGGTTAACAAATTGCTATCTAGATGGCAGTAAGAATATTTATATGACCATGATAAGAATATTTATTTAACCATGACTTACAAGTCCTGAACATATCATTAAACAGTAACTGTTAAGGAGATTTGCCATCTCCAGTAGAGGCATTGGTCTCACACTTCTAACCTGCACAATTTGAAGAGGAGCACATGAAAATTAATGAGAAGAGAGCTCCGCATTGAAAAGAACTATTGTTTATAAAACCTAATGTATCAGAACATACAGAACAAAAAAACACTAAAGCACAGCTGTTTACTGCTAAGCACACCAAACACATCAAAAATACATGCCAAACGTATAGCACTAATAATAAACTTAAAACATGAAATAGTAGACTGTTCAGCCAAACATCAAAGCTGTCTATAAACAGATAAGGACAGGGAATTCTAGCCACTCATTGCAAAAGTCAAATGTGAATAAACAAAAATATTAATTGGAATAGAAATTGCAAGCAACTCAAGTAATTTAGTCACTCATTCACTTGTTAAATAATAAATTTATTATTGGAGTTTATCAGTGGATCAATTATATAATACTTATATATGCTGCTAATTTGCTATTACACAGCCATCTTTCCAAAAATGCCATGCTAACAATAGGCAGAATATACATACAACTTCTTGAAGCTTTAATGGTGGTCCTGAAAGTGATCTCCATTGAGGAAAAAACTCTTCAGCAGATACTGGTATTGGCTGAAGAAATTTATTTATCACAGCAGGAAGACGAAGCTTGACATTAACCTGTAAAAGGCAAATATAAGACACCTGGAATAAGAAAAATTAAATGGCTCCATTTTGTCTGGCAGTAAAATATATTTAGTTTTCATATACAAGTACCGTATTAGTGCCAAACTTGTAGGAAAAATCAAGAACAGCTACATCCCTGCTTGGACGGAGATTTACAATCTCAAGTGGGCATTGGACCTCCACAACCATTAAGTAAAATAGTCAAGAAATAAAGAAAAAGTATAGGATGACAGAAAATTTATCAACATAACTAAGCACAAGCATAAAAGGGCATTTTCACCTGTGCACGAGGAGGTATAGTTTCAGGCACTAAAGAAAGCTCAATCTTTAGATGGGCAGGAGGCAATATAAGTGCCTGAACTGAAACAAGAGGAGAGGTATTCTTGTTGCCCAAGAAAAGAACAAGACGCCCATGATGAGCTCGCCACTCTGCTTTGATGCCAATCTGTACAATGAAAGACTCAGAATGAGCCTCATGAGGCTTCTCAAATATTTATACCCAAAAACTTGAAAATCAAGAAAGGAGGTTCTCTAGGGTAGAAACTAAGGGAGCATTATTGAACCTATTGATAACAATGAGCAACATGAAAAGGAAAAGATCTGAACCTGAATATAGGGATCCTCATATAAAACCCCACTATCCTTTAGGCATAAAGCATGAAACCTTTCAGCAATATTTCCTATTGGCTGCAAACATTAATAGTGGAATCAGTTAAGTAAAAAGTAATATTAAGAAACTAATTCAGGGATTTTAGGGAATGGGATCAAAAAACATATTCCTCAGTTCTCTTCCCCTGTCAAAGATCAACCCAAACGCATGAAGAGTTTTGTTTAGGTTCAAAATGAACCCTAAAGCCTCAATCTTGAATTTAGAAGAAAAGAGTTCATAGAGTAGTACCTGAACAGAATTTGTCTCCTCTCCCACTGGTACAATGGCTGCACCATCCACTACATTTGGAATGCCTTCAAGGCCAGAGACCACATTATGCTCAGATGGGACAGCAGCAGCAGGAGGTCCTTCAATAGCCAGCGGGCCCAAAAGATCACCTAGGAGATCTGCAGAAGGGGGTTGAGGATCTACAGTGCTTAAAGTTCCATTTGCCACAGATAAAGCTTGATCAGCTGGATTATGGTCCTGTCAAGATAGACCGATATGCATACATTTAGAAATTTTAATTAAAACTGGAATGTGTTAATTGTGTGTGTGTGTGTGTGTGTGTGTGAAAGAGAGAGAGAGAGAGCTAACCGCAGTACTGCTCATGCTGGGCATCTTTACTAGACTAAGCTGGTTGACTTGTGGTGGTGGTGGTGCCCCATTAGTAGCGAGTTGGTCAATCACAACCAAAGCATTAGACATTTGCTGCTGAGCCCGCAACTTGATTGCACTTTGCTCTGCAGTGTCTACCTCGGCCTCTTCTGCTTTTTTGATCAATGCAGACTACAGATTTAGGAGGAAAGCAAGGTTAGACCCTATAGCTTCTCTGTTCCCAAGCACTAAGTAGCTTAACTCATACTTCAAACCTTTAATTGAAATGGTAAATAGACTGCCCGCATAAGCAGCTTCTAAGAAGCAATTAAATACCTGACGTTCAGGAAATTTAGGCATTTCAGCCAATATATCCATTAGAGCAGCTCCTTTCCTGCTTAAAGCAAAATACTCAGCCGCTCGCTGTTGTATCTCCACATCAATGCAACTCTCGTATCTGAATAAACAAATATAAATGATTAAAGAAATCCATTTTCTTTTTGCTTGAAAAAGCCAAAAGTATTCTAGAAAACTTGATAAGAGTTTTGACCAAATGGAAAAAGAGAGAACACAGGGAAGAAATGCATCTCACTTGTTGAATATTGCCCAAATCTGATTTTGTAATTCTGGATCTGGAGGTTGTGTGTGCATTAAGATTTTGGCATACGCTGAAAGAAGAACAGGGATAGTAGAAGTCCTGAAATGAAGTATACTTTATAAGATACTATAACAAATTGAAAGAAAATACTAATAATATACAGAGGATCACCAGTTAATGGCTCTTACGGTACTGTAGGATGCTTCTCATGAATGATGTTAAAAATTTCTTTTGGGCTGCATCCAGGGCTTTTAGCCAAAAGATGGCTAAACTCTCCAAGAATATAAGCACTGACCTGCAGCATCCAAATTACAAATATATGGTACAATTTATTATTAAGAACAAAGAAACTTTAAAGAGATTAAATAATAATTTAAATGATTAAAATTGGTGAATGAGCAGAAAAAAAGTGCAGGCAATAAAAAGTCCAGCATAAGTTAGACACAGGATAATTCAGACACCCATATCCTGATATAATTTAGGATAGAATAAAAATCAAATTGACAATTAGCACTAATCATGTTCAGCACCCTAAAATTCTGCCTTAAAACCCATAATAAAACCACCATGCGTGACAGGTAATGGCCTCTGGTGAAATGCTAACATGGAGTTCCTTATGTTAACAGATAAAGCATACCAGACAAGAAAGACGGATTAAAAACAAAACAAAAAATGACAATAGAACTCATTCAGAGAAGGAACTATCATCATACAAACCTTGACCATTGTCTCATGAACAGCAGGCTTGTCAAGAAACTCTCTTGCTTTTGCAGCTGCATACGACTGAAAAAAAGTATAAACACGAAGTTTGAGCTGAAAAAACAAGCATCTAAATTATAGAAAGCAGCATTACAAGGACTGCAAAGATTCTGATCACCTGTAGATCCTCATTGTTAGTCACAAACTGCACAACCCGGAACCATATGTCGTCACTTATGAAATCTCCTGCCTTGTCAATCAACTGAAGGATCGCATCCACATACCTGTCAAAGTTGGAAATAGGATAATATCAAGATAAGATATATAATGAAATGCACAATCATTTTTTGGGTAAGACATCTATACTAGAAGAGATGTCAAAGAAGAAGAGGCAGATGTCTCCAACCCCGAAAAGAAAACAGAGAAAAATGAATATCCCAAATACATCATTCTGACCTCTGAATCACAGAAAGACCAGGAAAAAACTTACTCATTAGCAACTCTAAGTGTGCAGGAAAAAATTGAATATATTAAGGGAAGAGTGAAAATATATCGCTGAAAATTAGGCATGAAATTGTCCAACCAAAGATGCCAAGAAGAAACAAAATAGAGAATGACAGCAAATATCTAGATTAATCTGAGGTAATTACATCAATCTTCTAATGGTCTCCCACATTCCATAAATAGTACTGATTTTAACTTGCCAATCTTTATACTCATTCAATCTCACATCCACCTCGACAAGTAAATTCACATTTATTTTCAGCAAGTATCATTAACTAAAATCTCAGAAGTCAGCACTAGGTAGTAACTAAATGATTTTCAATTTTATATTTGCCAAGTTGATATTTCTTTGTGGCATATCTGCAAGCAAATTTTGCTTTCAACAGTATCACTTGACACATCCTTACCATGACAGATCAGGCGCAAACTTCTCTGCTAGAATAGCAGCTTTCAGTGATAATTCCTCACGCATTGCAAAATCAGCTGTGCTCAAATACTAAAAAAAAAAAAATACAATAATCACTGCCACACTTATATTGTTCTTCAAGGTTGAAATTGTCATAAAAGAAATCATGCTAAATTACTCAACAATGAAAAAAACTTTAGTACCTGCAGTAATTCTTCAACAATGTCCTTTGCATTTGAAACATCACACATCCCATAAAGCAAATCAAGAGCACGCCTACGAATACTGCAACAGAATAGGACGTTAAGAAAATAGAACTTGAAGCACAAACAGAAGTTTTGATAATTTTACAATGATGACAATTTAATATAAGCTTCTGACATATTGAATGTAACAATATAATTTTTAGGCCAGACTGATATTGTAGGTACATACATAGTCCTTTTTTGGCACAATTAAGCCTTGCAGGAAAGATGGATGATGCATGTACATGCAGATTAGAGTTTTTCAACACTGTAGAGGTATTATACCCATGATAAAACACCAGACAAATAAATCTAGCACAAAACTGTAAAGAAATCATAATTAAAGCAATATAAAAAAAGATGGCCAAAAAAAAAAGCAATATAAAAATAATTTCATGTGAAAATTGGAAGAATATAGAAAAATAGCAATAAAAGATACCTCGCAAATAAATGTACTCAAACATGTAGTGAGTGAAAAACTAAATCAAATGCCAATCAATTTTTTTATTCCTGCTTGCCCCTTCATATCAGGTTTTGGGGGTTTTCGGGGATGGGGGAGGGCTCACCTTGTGTATAACAGCAATAAAACCACAACCAACAAAGAAAAGGAAAGAAAACCTTCTAGCTCTAGATGTCTCATGAATGAATTAACATACAAAGGAAGGAGAATCAATTAACATCCAGCTTTGTTTCCAAATATTTGTAATATCTGAAACAGAATCATATACATGAAAATTTCTGTGACATCAATTAATTAAAACGATTGAAAGATCTGAAAACCCAACCTGATGTCAGGATCCTTCAAAGAGGTGATGATCTGAGCTTGATGTCTTTTGATGATATCTTGCATGTCAGTTACCAGTAACATCCTCGTCATATTTTCCTGCCCCAAGCATTAAAATGAATATTTTATTCAGTTTGTTTCAGCTTGGGTACAAGATCAGTGGAAGTGAGAGAATAAAGTTATTGTGATTTGATAAGGTACCAAGCCAAGATATCTGATATTTGGCTCGCGCACAGCAATAAATTTTCCAAGAAGTGCAACACACTGGGACATCATCTCCTTTTCAGCATCAAGATGCATGACCTGCAATAGAAAATATAAATATGCAATTTAATAGAGCTCCTCAAAATGCTTTGAAAACAGGAACAATAATCTAAGGACACATGGTATTTTCTGAAGAGACATAGCATACAAAAATGAGTGCTTGATAAGAATAAACAGTCAGATAAAGTCACTAACGGGGTAGGAGAAATCTTAGAACAAGAATCTTCAAAACCTCATCAAAATCCACAATGCATATATAAATGTTGATGTGTGCACAATGCAACCACAAAACCCTCTATTTCTTTCTTTCCATACGTGTGCATGGTTAGGGAAGCTCACCCATATAACCATGTATAGACAATCACATTCACATGCTAAAATGCACATCTTGCTAGCTCTATTATAGAAGGTATGAAGGCCACAGGAGACATTTAATGAGCCTGAGCAAATTCTGTATGTGATTTTATGAGAGAAATTTTTACCAATATTCATAGAAACATTCCTATTGAGGGACATCCAACATTACAATGTCAATAAAAAATATTGAATAAGAAATTTATGCACTAAGATTAATGTATGGCCGGGAAACTTACAAGAGCAAGGGCTTCAAAGAGGACAGCATGTGATGCATTATTCTTATTAACGTTTTTCACAACATCAGTTCCCATTAATATGCGTTGTAGGACCTGAATTAAAAATAAACATCATCAGAATTTTTTTATAAAAAAAATCTAAACTTTTATTTTTTTTAATCTGGAATAAAGTCAAACCTCAAACAATATTCTTCTAGTATTTGGATCTTCAATAGTAGGAAAATACTGGAGAGCCCTCATTGTTTTAACCTGTTTCAATAAGAAAAAATAATAATATGACGAATGATGAGAATAGCTTAGCTGAAAGTCAATAAGTGGCAGTCAGTAACCAAGGTCAATAACTTCAGAAATATAGGAAGGAAGTATTCCCAACAGCCTAAGTTACAGGCAGCTTGCTATAAATCTCAGGTAGTGGCATGAGTAAAACAAATGGCTATAGATGTGTCTCAGTAGAGAGAGAAAGAAACCGCAGCATTATTCCATCTGAAAGAAATTTCAGATTTGATACAAGCTGAGACTGGCTACTGAATTTTGCTTTGCTTCAAACTTCAAACTTGACATTAGTGCAAAGGAGACTTAAAAGACAAACCTGAAGCCAGGGAGACGGAATACCATAGTAAGTATATTCTTGTGGGACATCAAGGTTCCTAGCAAGGCGCTCCAATATTTTAACGCACTTTGGAAGACAGGTCCAGTATGCTTCATGATTGTTTGATACCAAAGCCACAAAAAGGCTCATTGAAGATGTCAAAACACCAAGATCGCGTTCATCTAAAAGTTGCGCCATCCGATCCGTCCTAAAACATAGGGCCAGAAAATCATTTCAAAATAAAGAAAACCATAATCAGACAGTGAGTTATGATAAAATTCAAACATTATGACATACCAGCCATCTACATTGACTACATCAGGATTTTTCCTATATAATCGAAGCAAACATAATGCAGCTTTTTTTCGTACAAGAGGTCTGCAGCTACTGGATAGCTGAAATGACAGAATTCGTTAGCATGAACAATATTCTAAGAAAGCCACTTGAACTTTATGAATTTCTGGTCTATCTTACAAGTAACTTCTGAACATCAGGTGCCAATGACTCTGCAAATTCTCTACCACCAATATTTCCAACCTACAAAAATGTACAAAAGAAAGGGAAATGTGTAAGGTTCAAAGGGGCCAATATCTTAATATAACAATGAATGACTACACAAAAGACAATAAGATATGTAAACATTCAAGGACTTAATGATGACCATACCATTGTCAATGCTAGGCACTGGAAGGTCTCATTGCGACCAATTATATCATTGCGGACAGTATTGATTGCCAGTCTCAGGAAATCATGGTTTTCATTGAGCAAAGATGATGTTACAATGTATCCAACCTGCAGATATCCGGGCAAAATGGAAGCTAAATAAACAGTGGAGACATATTTCTTAAAGTATAAAAGAAAAATATAAATACCTGCTTTTCTGGATATTTGGGAGCAGATATCAAAGAAACAGCTTCCATGTGACCAAAATCAACGTCATAACCAAGCATATATATGTAAAGCATTTTCCAAACATATTTCTTCTTTTCATATGGTGTCAATCCCTGCCACAAGAACATAAAATTTCAATAACGGAACTCCTACAATGGTTTGTAAGGATAAGTGCAGCACTTGGACAAGTTTTAGGTTTAAAAATACTCAAAAATCGAGCTTGAGACCACACCGTAATAACCTCACATTCAAAATAACCTAGTAGGAGGAGATCTCATCTCAATTTAGGAGGTTCAACAGACAGTATAAAACGGGAAACCATACTTAACTCCAAATAGAACTTGAAATTTTTTCGCAGTAACTGGTGTGGACAAAGAAATAAGTTCTGAAGATACCAATGACTAAGGTTTCCTAGGAAAAATTTAAGCAAGCATATGAACATGGAAATATAATATCTTCCATCGAAACACTTCCATCATAGAATCAAGAAACCTTTGGATAATTGTTTGATATATGGAAGCATCAGTCTCCTCTCTACAGACCTAGAATTCTGCACTTTGTATACAGAATCATACCTATATCGAGCCGTGCATTAGAAACACAAAAGAGAAAAACCCTAACCTTCTCGTTCTTGAAGCGAGTACGGACGTTGCCGAGCTCCTTATCGACTCGAAGGCGCTCCTGCTCTTTGTTCTGGCAATTGCGAATGTCGCTGATGAAAACGGAGAGGCCTCGCATCCCATGCATTGCCATTCAACTATCCGATCAGATCCAGCTCTCTTCACTTTCGGATCTGCAGGTAAATATCCAGATCTTCTGCAACAACCGGAGAGAGAGAGAGCTGATTTCGATCCAGTATCAAACAACCTCGGCAGATAAAATAGACGCAAAAATTGAAATCAAGTGCGAAAGATAATGCCTGAGATCGGAAAGTTAACTTTCGGTGGACTGAAGAGCGGAGATTGGAAAAGCCGTCGCGGGGATGGCAGGGACGGAAGGAGGGAGGGAGAGAGGGAGGGAAGAAGACGACTTTATTTTACCAATTTTTTTCTTTTTTTACTTATTTTTATATGTACGGTCTAATGTTTCAGCCATCTGTCCTCCATTTTATTTTGATATTTTTGTGGAAAGTTCTATCTGTTTGCCTCTTCAAAATTTATTTAATGCTCTGGTTGTGGGAAAAAATAGAGTAACGGGTACTTGGTTTTATGTACCTGATGAGTCAACCCGGTTCTTAGATGCTGCCAGATTGGAATTTTTTCATTTCCTACGAAAAGTAGGGGATCTGTAAAAATAGGCTTTTAGTGGAGGGGACTGTCTCTGCAATCTACTACTTGTCTTCCTATTAGTATTTTATTATGTATGAGAATAAGAATGCACAATATATTTTAAAATTTTTAATTTAAATCAATAAAAAAAAGATACTAACTCATGAAACTAATATTTTCCTTGGCAAAAAAAAAAAAAAAAAAGGAATAAAAAAAATAATGATTTTCTTTTTTTGGCCAAGAGAATGATGATGTTTAAAAAGAAAAATAAATAAATAAAGAGAAGAGAATAATGTTGTTTAGTTAATGTTAATAAATAAGATTTTGGATCATCTCTATTGAGGTATTTCTAATGAGGGTGTGGTGAGGCGATATCCTTTTTTTATTTCTTTACTTTAAAAAAAATAAATTTAGAAAATGTGGCTTGAAAAACATAAGGAATGATAAAAAAATTCAAAACGTTTTGATAATTACAATTGGATAATTATAATGTTAGTATGATTATAAAA